TTTTTTTTTTTTTTTTTTTTTTTTTTTAGCAAAGGCTTTTTGAATAGGGTCAAGAATTTTGGTGACCAACAAATTGAAGGCTCTGCTTTTGTTTAATGTTTGACTGTCTTCTTTGCCAGAGTATGAGACTTTGATCAGAAAAGAGCGGAACAAAGTACGCTGAACAGGAATGGATTGCCAGCTGCCCCAAACAGGCTTGTATTATTATGAACAAGTACCTGGCAGAAAAACTCACAGAGACTTTTTAAACAGTATTTCTGAACCATAGGCAGTGGATGCAGTGATCTGAAAAGACTCAAAAACTCGTTTTTGATGTACAGAAGGATCAAGGGGTGGATTAGTGAAATCAGTGACTAATGGGCTTATCCTAAATCATGGTAAACATCCTAAAATAAGTTTTTAGTGGGATGATTTAGAAACTTCTGGGAGGAAACTTGATATTATGAAGCCACCGAGAATTTTATCAAGTAAATAATTCCTTACTGACTTTCTTCTTTGACCTGCTTATTTGATTTTTTTTTAAAGGCTCAGGAATGCATTAGACTTAGAATATATGAATTTAGCGAGATATTCAGCAGTGATTCTTAGTATAAAGATTTTGGTTTCAAAAAACAAATATAATAATAATCGGCTAACTGAACTTGCCTAAAATCGAACAGAAAAATTTCCACGAAACAATAGGCTTTATCTTTGGCCTTTTCCTGTGTAACAATTTTAATAGCAATAGTACATAACTAAAGTTTTGTTAATTAAAACTGAGAATGATGTGTACTTGGGATGATAGTGGTATGAGAAAAAAATCAGAATCAAAAGGCTGGAGATATAACTCAGCTGTAAAAAGCATTAGCTGTTCTTTGGGAGGACCCAGGTTCAGTTCCCAGTACTCACATGGTGGCTCATAACTATGTGGATTCCAGGGTGTCAAAAACTTTCTTCTGTTTTTTGGTGAGCAATAGTACACATGTGGTATACACATACATGAAGGCAACACGGAAACTCACAAGATATTTATAAGTAAATGTAATTATTTTTTTGAGTCAGTCTTAAGCTCATAGGCTAGAGTAATGGATTTAATCTAAGCTCATATTTAGTGGGATAAATAAAATGTCCTGTTCTTATAAATGAAAATCTAGCCACAGAGATGATTTTAGTCGAGATAAAGATTAATATACTTTAGTGTGAGCGCAATGGGCAGATGGGAAATAGAACTGGGGATGTTTAGACTAGAGATGCAACAATTTAGGAGGAAGGTTTAGGGGACATGAGTAGAAATGAAATACTTTATATGCATGAAAGTTACAAGAAGACAAACTGACAGTGAATTTACAGGGGATTTCTTTTGTCCCAAAAGAAAACATAGCGCTTTCTGAAGGAATGTATTTCCTGTCCTTGTATGGTAAGATAGACAATCCTTTTTTGTTTTTACCTTACTTTCTTTAATTGGTAAAATTTCAAGTATATTTCAAGAAACTATGGTGAACAGAAATATAGCTCCTACCTATCCCAGTGGCTATGTCACATGATGGACTGTACCCCCGAAAACTGTGCTCCCAAATAAACCTTTTCATCCTCTCTCAAACTTTTAAATTAATAATTAATTAGTGTGTGTGCATGATGGGAGCACATGAAATGGTATGTATGTGAAGGTTGGAGGACAGCCTGCCGGAGTCAGTTCTTTTCTACCACATGGGTTCCTGGGATTGAAATTTAGACTGTTAGGCTTGCTGGCACATACTTTTACATACTGAGTCATCTTACTGGCCTCAGAGATCTATTTTAATCTTCCTTCATGGCCTGCTGCCATATATAAACTGGGAGTAAATTTATTTCTTAATAGACTGGAAAGGTTTATGAATCATGCCTTCCCCAGAAATCTAGATAATATTTAAAGAAGAGAATTAACATAGTTGGAAAAATTATGTCTACTGTAAGTGGCCCTGACTTTGGACTGAGCTCAGATTCATTTTTGTATCTTTTTGTATTATTCTTTCACATTAAGGATCAAACTCATATTGATGGCTTCCCAGTACAACACTGCATTTATTTCTGATTTTCCTTTGAACAGTGATTTGGCAAAAGCTAATCAATCATGTACATAGTGGTAATATGGAATTTTCCTCATTGTCATTTTCTCCATATTACAATTTCTGTTCTTTGCTCTGTGCTCTAATGATAATGTTGTTAAATTCTTGTAATTTTTCCTTTGTCTTTTTATTTTTTTGTCTGTTACTGAATTTTGATTAGAGAAAATCATCTTTATTATTTCTAGTTCCAAAAAGTTATTGATAGATTCTATGGCCTAATAAACATTGTTGAACATAATAGATAAGTTGGTTCTATAATTTATTCTTCCATGTTACTTTCTTTATAGGAGGTATTCTATAGTCATAATGTTTAGTCTCTGCTTCCTTTATTTTATGTAAACATCACCAGACCAGAGGCTTCTGAGCCAAGTCACATTTATAAAAAAGCATCCATTCCTTATCTGCAGGTAATTTGTTCTAAGATAGTCTCTGTGTGAGAAAAACCATATATAGTTCCATCCTAAATAAACCAATTACAAGTTAACTATGTTTCTCCCCATATCCAAAGAGCTCTGAAAAAGTTTAATTTATATATTAGTCATAACAAAAGATTAATGATAACTAATACTAAAATGCAATAATTGTGGGGCTCAGTTAGTAAATAAAGTGCTTTCTGTGCAAGTGTGAGGGCCTGAGTTTGGATCCCCAGTGTCCATATAAAGTCTTGGGATGGTGGCATATGCCTGTAATCTAAGGGTTAGGGTGTGAAGACAGGTGGATTCTGGGAGTTCATTGGTCATCCAGTCTAGCCAAAGTGGTAAGCTCTAGGTTCAATGAGACACACTATCTCACAAAAAAGAAAACATAGTCTTAGTTAGGGCTTTATCACTGTGAAAAGAGCACCATGACCAAGACAACTCCTATAAAGGAAAGCATTTAATTGGGGCTGGCTTATAGTTTTAGACATCTAGTCATGGCAGGAAGCATGGCAGGGTACAGGTAGACATGGTGCTGAAGGAGCTGAGAGTTCTACGTCTTGATTCATAGGCACCAGATAGAGACTGTGTACAACACTGGGCATAGTTTGAGCATAGGAGACCTCAAAGCCCACCTCCACAGTTACACACTTCCTCCAACAAATCCACACACACCTCCTAATAGTGCCAGTCCATGTGGGCCAAGCATTCAAACATATGAGTCTATGGAGGGCATTCTTATTCAAACCATCACACACGGAGATATGCCTAAAGGACATCCTGATGCCAATTAAATAAAATATATAGTACTTAAAATGTCATACTATAATAAGACTTACTTCAAAGCTATTAATTGCTTGTTTCTGCAATTTTCTATTTAATATTCTGAACCATAGTTGACTATGGATAAGGGGAACTGTACAATGGAATGGCAAATACAGGGAAGGGCTACTGTACATCAGAACAGGAGTAGTGAGATCTCAAAGGAAGACTTTCACAGAAAAAAAATGGAAGATGGTTTGATGTCTTTTGAGGGGGCTTGGTTCACTAATATGTAAAAAAATGCTAGAAAACTTCAAAGCTCTATAATGACGAGCTTCTCTTGCATGGTATGTCTTGACTGTTCAGACTTTAGTTACGCTTTGAGTAGGGCCCTCCTCTATTCTGCATTTGAGTACCATGTAGGCAGGCCTTGGTAACCTGTCTTATGTCTACTTTTCCCCTAGTCTTCTCTTGTTCCCCTTTTGTGCTTAAAGTTGTCCATGGGGAAACCTTTTACCATGCTTTGTTTTGTCTTCATTCATGAGATTCGTAAAGAAAGATTTAGGGGTCATTTTATTGGACTGAATGGGTGACCTACTTGTCCCCCCCCTTTTTTTTTGTAAATCCACAATGAAATGAAGGCCTGAAAATTAGTAGATCAAGTGTCTTAGTAACTGTTCTCTTGCTGTGATAAGATACTATGACCAAGGCAACTTATATATAAGCATTTGGGTTGGGCTCATGGCTTTAGAAAGTTAGAGTCCTTGATAGTTGAGCAAAGAAATGGCAGCAAAAACAAACAGCTGAGAGCTTACATTCTGATCTGCAAGAGGAGTCAGAGAAAGGCAGTGTGAGACAGTGAGGAAGATAGAGACAGACAGAAATATGACAGATAGATAGATAGATAGATAGATAGATAGATAGATAGATAGATAGATAAGAAAGGGAATAGCAGTCTTTTGAAATGTCAAATCACCTCATTTAGCCTCCAATAAAACACCTCCTTTTATGAAATTCCTAGTCCTTCTCAAACTGTTCTACCAGCTGGGGACCAAGTCATCAAACATATGAGCATATGGGGCTATTTTCGTTCAAACCACCAGTTATATTCCAAACAATTTCTTTGATATGAATTAAGTTGCCTAAACCTCAATGATTCTAACACCAAACAGATTCCATTATTTAAAATGTTAGTTATTTCAACTTTCAGTAATTCCATGGTTGGCAGGAGAAATCACACTGTGGAGACACTTAATTCATCACATAGCACCTCTCCAGTGAAACTTCAAAACTACTGGGGCAACACACATTACAGTGATTACTTTCCAAGGGACCGTAGAAGCAAAATCTCATGATGTAGTCACCATGTGCCTCTGACGCGGCTCTAATCTGAAAGATTGTTCAGCAAATAGCATGCAAGAAACAAAACTGTCTCATGTGTTCTTGGCAAGACACTTTTGGTAGCATGACTTTTCTTGTCCACTAATGATCATTTCCTTTGTTTCTATTTTATATAGTATTTCACTATATAGCCTAGGTTGGCTCTCCACTTGCCTCAGCCTCCCAAATGCTAGGATAGCAGATGTACCTATTGTGCCAGGGTAGTCATTTCAATTTTGACTCCAATGTTAGGCAAGTGTGAAATGATACAGCCAGCAGTGAGCTCCAGTGTTCTGAGGCAAGAAGTATGAATGGATATCTCTTGCCACCCCTAACTCCACTCATGGCCTGTACTCACCTGCACCAGGTCAGGTGTGAGGCGCTTGGCCTGCAGCCATTTCTGGAACCTCCCTGTTTTCCGAAGGATGCGATCAATGCTGCAGGTCTTTGGAGTTGATGCAGAGGCACAGATCCTTCTGTCAGAGATATCACTTCGGTATTTACTAACTAGTCGAGAAATCTCCACAGGGCGCCAGGTTTTAGAATCGTCTGTGTAATTCGCAGCATAAGATACCAAGTCCTGAGAAGGCAGTCCCAGGTGGGAAGCCAGTGAGTTGTCAAATCTGTGGAAAGCATAGGATAAACCTGTGAAAAAGAGTCAACAGAGTCGAGAGGCAGGAAAACGGGACAACAGCCTGTCTGATCTTTCCTTTTATTTTGATTTGTTCTAAACTCCTTTTACAAGAGGATTACTTTGGCCAGACTTAGAAGTATACATATGATGTCACATAAGAGGTCACACAAAACTGTTCTCTTCTCCCAATGTACAGAAGAGACAACTAGCGCTCTTTGAACTTCAACCCATTTTTTTAAGACGATAGCTTTATGGTTTTGGTTTTTTTCATACCCCACTCTCACCATACAGTTATGGAACTAAGGTTTATAGACCTTAAGAATCTTGCTCAAAATCCTACACAATGTTGACAATGAGAGTTATAAACCCCCATCTATTTTGCTTTACATACTCTATTTGTCCAAACCATTCATCCTTTGACCAATGCCTAGGTCTTGGAAACATATCTCCAAGAGGATCTTGGGACTGAAATTGAGAGACCACCACGCCCCCATATCCAACCTCAAGGAGCCCCATCAACGTTGAAATAAGTCATCAGCATCAAGTGATTTTCAAGTACCTATGGCTGCTTAATGTGCATCAAATTTGAAGCCATGCGGCTCCAGCAGGTGTGTGATTGAGCACCATGGCTTGGTCAGCTGTTAATCCTCCTCATGGGAGAGGCATTGGCCTGCTGTCATCTGCTGATTTCCTAGGCACCACCATAACACTTTCTAACAGAGTCACTTCTCCAGCTTTTTGCTGACATTTCTATTAGGGAAGAATGTTGAATCTGCTTTTGATTTTTGTCAAAAAAATTACTCAAAAAAATCTGCTTTTATTATTATTTACTGAAGGTCATACTGCAAGTGAAAATCAGACTGTATCAAATATTGAAGTTAAATGGGATTTTTAAGTTCTTGTTATTGAGTACTGTTGGGCAGTCCTTAGTAACGAGTTTTGGCTAGTATATTTTTGATGAATTAGCATTTTGATGAACCTTAACTGTATATTGTTTTGTTTTCTTATTCACACAATTCAGCTTTGTTCACAGATTGTTTATTATATGGAGTTCTGGGGCCAGAGCTCAGGGCTTTGTGTATGCTACCCAAATGTGCTATAAATGAACCATATCACCAGTTCATTCCTAGTATTTTGATAGCGAGGCAAGCTATAAGAAAATTTAAAGGTCAAAAGGTCAAGGTCAAGAACAACAGCAGGAGAGACCAAGTCACTAAGTCTCTTCTGTATAAAGAGCTCCAGCCACTCACAGTTGGAAAAGTACTGTCAGCAAGCTGCTTCCGCAGTGCAATGCTGCAAACTGCAATGGATGCAAACACAGTGGTTCTGTTTAAGAACTTTGCCACAGGGATATTGAAGAAGATGAACTTGAAAAGAGCTTGAAAAAAGTCAGTTTTAACAAGAAAGAGGACCCGGGGTAAGATGATCAATTCTCACCTAGAAAGACAAATAGGATGGTCATGGGAAGTAGGAGAAAACAAGAAACAGGACAGGAGCCTACTGCAGAAGGCCTCTGAAAGACTCTACCTAGCAGCTTATCAAAGCAGAATCTAAGACTCATAACCAAACCTTTGGTAGAGTGCAGGGAATCATATGATAAAAGGAGGAGTTAGCATGACCAGGATTGGACAGGAGCTCCACAAGTACAAAATATATCAGGGCATGTGGGTCCTCTATGAGACTGTTTCTCCAACCAAGGACCATGCATGGATATAATCTAGAACCCCTACTCGGATATAGCCCATGGTAGCTCAGAATCCAAGGGGGTTTTCCTAATAAGGGGAACAGGGACTATTTCTGACATGAACTCAATGACTGGCTCCTTTACCTCCCCTGCCCCCCAAGGGAGGAACAGCCTTACTAGGCCACAGAGGAGGACAGTGCAGCCAATCCTGATAAGCTAGGGTCAGATGGAAGGGGAGGAGGACCTCCCCTAGCAGCGGTCTTGGGAAAAGACAGGGAAGAGATGAGGGAGGGAGGATGGGATTGTGAGAGAATGAGGAAGGGAGCTACGGCTGGGATACAAAGTAAATACCTGTGATTAATATTAAAAAAATAAAAATTAAAAAAGTCAGTTTTACCAGAAGTTTCAGGACAACTGTGGGGACTCATTTTCCTTACTAAAAGGACTAAAAAAGATCCAGGGCCCAGGGCCCAGAGGTAGTCCTCCTTCCAGTAGCTTCTCTTAGTCATAAAGTTCCAGCCCAACAAAGGTCCTGGAACTTAGGATTTACAATGAGGTGATAATGATAGTAACAAACATTTACAAAACCTTTGACTATATCAACCTCTTTGTTAATTTATTTAATCTTTTTTTTGTGTGTGTGTGTTTGACACTAAAATTACTCCCAGGATATCAAACACGCTGGGCAAATGCTCTACTATGGACCTACACATAATCTTTTCAATATACCTATGAGGTTGAGAGCATTATGAATTGTACAGATGAGGACCCTGAGACATGGAATAGTTACATTATTTTTCCAAAGACATGTGATCAGAAATTGAAAGAAATAGCATTCAAGGCTGCAGAGCTTGCAGCCTTCACTAGATTACCATTGTTTATTCCTATAGAATCCATTTTATGAATTAGCTCATGGGAGCAGGTCATTAATATTACTAGAGGTTAGAACTGGCAAATGCTGAAAGCTTATCCTCTCCTTGTCCCCATCTTCATCTTGTTTTGTGGATGAGAAAAGTGAAGACAGATTATATGTGACTTGTCTGAGGAATCATAGACAATTAGTTAAAAAGGGAAATAGCTCTTAGGGATTCCATTCAACCAACTGGTAGAGTTGAGGGGAGAGAGACTTGCTGCTCTGTGGGACAAGGTCATTGTCCTTTTTTTCTCTTGTCATTTGCTGAGAGGGTCTTACGACAGCATGTCTTGGTAGATGATATGCAGGTTCAGTGATGTTCAAGAAAATTCCATAATGAATGTGATAGAAAAACAGACTGGCTCTCTCCCATTCAAAATGGTGTGACATAATAGTGCTGCGAAATGTGTATCTCACAGTGTTGTTTGCCTATGTCACTGACTAGCAGAATGTCAATGAAAACATGGCCCTGTTCTTCATTTACTAAAATGCCAATATTCTGTAGTTTAGAAAATAAAAAATCTTTCTTTCTTTCTCTTTCTTTCTTTCTTTCTTTCTTTCTTTCTTTCTTTCTTTCTTTCTTTCTTTCTTTCTTTCTTTCTTTCTTCCTTTCTTCCTTTCTTCCTTTCTCTTGCCACTGAACTTTTAATTTCTGCTACCAGTGAAGACCAAGAATTTAAAAGTTTTAAAGTGATTTTTTTTTTACAGCATTAAAGAGTTTGAAAACCACAACTACCCTGTCACAGATCTGTTATATTTCTCCAGAGACTCAGTTAAGTATAGTCTCTAGATCACAACTTTTCTTAAATCCACATCAAGCTAAATATATTGTGGGAGGAACAAATTAGGGAATTTACTTAAGCAAGTTAATTTAGCGAAAATTAAATAACATGAAGGAGATAATTAAATGCAGGTGTGACGCCCACAGCACAGTTTTAAAACACTAAATGATTGATAGATTCAACATCTTACACATCCACTCTAAGACATTACACTAAGCAGTGTCTTAGAACAGGCATACATGGCAGCTGTAGATTCTGTCTTCATGCAAGAGATTCTCTGGAGTTTTTGGTCTGGGTTTAATGTAACTTAGTAACATTTTACTGTCACAAAGGCTTGATAGGATTCTACTGTGTACATTTTCTCTTCTACAACGTATCAGACAGTGTGGGAGAGCACCTGCAATGGAAAATATTATAACTTTCGCATTATCCATACACTAAGTGCTTCAGGATTCTTTCTTGGAGAATGTCTCTCTTTTATAATCATACTTGAAACAGGTCTCCTAACAAAAGCTGAAAGATAAAGAGGCAACTCACCTCTTTTCTGAGCCTTTTTCTTTTTTAAAATTAATTACAGTTTATTCATTTTGTATTCTAGCTGTAGTCCCATCCCTCCTCCCTCCTAATCCCACATTTCCTCCTTCTTCTCCTCCCATGCCCCTCTCCCAGTCTACTGATAAGGGAGCTCCTCCTCCCCTTACATCTGACCCTAGCCTATCAGGTCTCATCAGGACTGGCTGCATTTTCTTCCTCTACTCTTTTTTTTTAAATTTATTTTTTATTTTTTAATATTAATTACAGTTTATTCACTTTGTGTCCCAGTTGTAGCCCCCTTCCTCCTTCCCTCCCAACCCTACTCTCTCTCCCTCATCTCCTCCCATTCCCCTCTCCAAGTCCACTGATAGGGGTCTTACTCTACTCTTTCTTTTGAATTGAGATCATGGGTATGACTGAGGTGAGGCTGGCTGAATTTCTGCTGCATGAAAGGTAAGCCATCAGGACCATACTTCCTCAGAACTGAAGAGAAACATCAGGATGATTAGGGAAGGTATGTGTTTAGTAGTGATGGGGGGGGACTAGAACTAGGATAAAATTTTCTCATCTACTGTGTTTACACATGCCTTCTTAAGTATTACTTGTCCCTCTTTTTTCATCTCTCAACTCTATACTGAATCCTAAAACCATCTATCTTCTTAAAAAAAAAAAACTCTCAGGACACAGTCACAGTCATTAGTACCATCCACAATGATATTCCAAGGCTTATCACCTGCTGTTCATTTTCCTTATAAGCTTGCATTGTTCTCATTAAACTACTGGTTACTCTTAGATAATGTAATCCTTTCAGATCCCTGACATGCCCTTCATTTTGTTGGAAACACTTTCTTCTTTTTTCTTCTCTGGATAACATCTACTTAACTTTTCAAATCTCAGACAGGTACCACTCCTTCTGATCTTCATTTGTTTTACTCTCAGTTGAGGTAGGTTTCTTTCTACATGTTCCCATGTCACTCTTTATTGGACATTTTATATATCGTGCTTTAGCCATTACTTACTTCTCTGTTTTTTCAATAAAAAGATCCTACAGGGCAAAGATATGGTCTCTTTCTTTC